GGAACGCGTATCTCAGAACATTTACCGGTTCTGTTTACAACCTCGATCCCTTCTGTAGGAGTTGAATCACGTGCTCCTGCGCGTTGTCTGCGTTCAATTAACCCCTTGACTGCCTCACAGTTTTCAGATGCTTTTAATACTTATCCGATTTGTAAATTAGAGGTGAACTGTGCTTTTAGTGCGGATGAGCTTATCTCTTTGTTTGATTCGACATGCACACTAATACTGGATTCCGTTGCTCCTTTTACGCTTAGACGCAACACAGTTCTCTCAGAGCCGTGGCTCAATGACTGTACTCACGCTCTTAGACGCGCTTGTAGGCGTGAAGAGAGAAAATGGAAAAAGGATAAACTTCATGTCTCCTTAGAAATCTTTCGTGCTTGTCTTTCCGACTACCAGACGGCAGTCAAAGCCAAAGCAGAGTACATTTCTCTGTTCATCTCCAAAAACAGCCATAAACCTCAAGTTATTTTTAATGTCCTCGACTCGATCATTAATCCTTGTGATATTTCTCCAATTGTGCCATCAACTACTCTCTGCGATACATTTCTTACATTTTTTATTGAAAAAGTATCTGCTCTTAGGCTAGCCTATACTAGTGCTACCCCAGATCCTGCTCCCTTCCTGTGCCCTGCTGTCCTCGACCACTTTGAGCCTGTATCCCTCTCTTCTCTCTCGGAAGTAGTCAAGCATTTGCGGCCGACAAACTGTATCTTAGACAGCATTCCCTCTCGCTTCCTTAGAGATGTTTTTGAATCAGTTGGAGCAAGTGTTTTATTGCTTGTAAACACCTCTCTTAGCTCAGGATGTGTCCCAGCTGCCTTCAAACATGCCATGGTCCAGCCACTACTTAAAAAGACAAATCTCGATCCCTCCATTCTCGCAAATTTCAGGCCCATCTCCCAGCTACCCTTTTTATCTAAAGCCCTGGAGCGAGTAGTCTATGCCCAGCTGCAGTCGTTCTTAACCACGCATGGTGTCCATGAAAAGTTTCAGTCTGGCTTTAAACCTATGCACAGCACTGAAACAGCCCTTTGAAGAGTTTTTAGACAGCTGCCTTTGACACTGTGGACCATAGCATCCTGTTGTCACGGCTTGAACAGTCCACAGGCATCACAGGCTCTGCTCTTACATGGTTCAGGTCTTACCTGACAGACCATAGCCTCTCAGTGCAGCTAGGTGCCTTCTCCTCTGCCAAAGCCCCTCTTACCTGTGGGGTTCCCCAAGGCTCGATCCTGGGCCCCATCCTTTTTCTATTGTACATACTGCCCCTAGGTTCAATTCTCACAAAATATAATATCCCCTTCCATTGTTACGCTGATGATGTACAGATCTATCTGCCTCTCAATCAAAATGCCAACTGACTACAGCAGTTGAAGGACTGCTTAACAGAGATCAAATCCTGGCTGAGCCAAAACTTCCTCACCCTCAATGAGAGCAAGACTGAGGTCATCTTTTTTGGACCCCAACCTCCAGCCTCTCTGGTTGATATTCTGGGCTCCCTCAGTAAAAATATCCTCCCCTCTGTCATGAACCTTGGAGTGACCTTCAACAGCGCCTTTAAATTTGATAAACAGATTAGTACTGTAGTCAAGACCTGCTTTTTCAAAATACGACTATTGGCTAAGACCAAGTCGTTTTTATCTTTTATAGACCTAGAAAGGGTTATTAACGCCTTTGCTACCTCAAGACTGGATTACTGCAACGGTCTGTATGTGGGTATGGACCAGGCCTCAATTAGACGCCTGCAGCTAGTTCAGAATGCAGCTGCACGTCTTCTCACTGGCCATAAAAACTGGCTGATCAGCTGCTGCTGATAGTGCCTAAGACCAGGCTCAAAACCCGAGGGCACCGAGCCTTCGCAGCAGCTGGCCCTAGGCTCTGGAACACTCTGCCCCTCCATGTGGGTCGGCCCAGACCCTAACTTTTTCTCTCTGGCCTTCTAGGCTTCTCTTATCAAGAATAACTTTTACCCAGGACCGTTTCCCTCTCTAACCTCTCGAGTTTTATTAGAGGGAAACGGTTTGCAGAGTGGCTTAGACAGGCCGGGGAGTGTTACGATTCGTAGACACAGCGTACCTCCCTATCTCTCATCAATTTCCAACTAAGGCTCCAGTGGGGACCTTGTTCCCTGAGTGCGTCTCTCCACCTATGTTTCTTACTCTCTTATTTGATACCCTTTGCCCTCAACCTATTCTAAGGGAGTGCTTGTTCTTCCGTCCGTCTGTCTGTGTCTGTGTATTCTCTTGTTCCGATTAACCCAGCCAAGTCTTTTTTCTTGTTTTGTATCTATATCTACGCCGGGATCCGGAGTCGAGGCTGATCCTCTTGCTGTAGTCCTGTGTCTTGGATCCTCTATCCTGAGTTCTGGATTAAGTCGTGGACTTCGGGTCGTGGCTGAACCTGTCTCTGCGGTCCTGCCTTGGGTCTCGTCATGCTGCTTCCCTGATGGCTTCCACAGGATTGTAGCTGACATCCTCGTGGATTCATCTTCTTATTACAGACACATGCATTTCCTAACATCCGGTGTATATGCTGTAAAATGTATTATCTCTTGGATTTACACACGGCATCTATTACACGTCTGTCCGTCCTGGGAGAGGGATCCCTCCTCTGTTGCTCTCCCTGAGGTTTCTCCCATGTTCCCTTTAAACTGTGGGTTTTCTCTGGAAGTGTTTCCTTGTACGATGTGAGGGTCTGAGGACAGAGGGTCTGAGGACAGAGGGTCTGAGGACAGAGGGTCTGAGGACAGAGGGTCTAAGGACAGAGGGTGTCGTTTTTCTCATACTGGTATTCTGAACAATCTGTGTTGTATTTGCTGTAAAGTGTCTCTACTGTAGGCTATTTTTATTATATGTTCAGCACTTTGGCTCCACCAAACATCGTTTATAAATGTGCTATATAAATAAAACTTGATTTGAAAAACAAATCTCCAGGTTCACTTGGAAATATATAAAGAGAAACTCGGTTTCTATAATCAGGAAATAAAAAAGGCACGACAGTCTTTCTTTTCTGACATTATCAAAAATAAAAACAACTCACGTGCCTTCTTTGCTACCGTCAACAGACTAACAAACCCCTCAGTGTTGATAGCCTCAGAATTTCTATCCACCATGGCCTGCAATGACTTGGCCTCCTTCTTCACTGACAACATCATGCAAATCAGACAAGCAGTCAGTGCCTCTGCATCAGGTACAGCAAATGTACTCTCCCTGTGTTCACCTAAAGCCATTTCAGACATGTCACAATTCCGTCTGATAAATGCTAAAGACCTGGAAGACATTATCCAACATCTGAAATCCTCCTCCTGTAGCCTCGACGTCATCCCAAAAGGATTTTTCAAAACAGTTTTCCATTGCTTGGTCTCAGATATACTACACATAGTAAACAAGTCTCTTCAATCAGGTGTATTTCCACAGGCGCTGAAAACTGCAGTAATTAAACTGCTCCTGAAAAAGCATAACCTAGACGCAACCATAATGAATAACTACAGGCCAATATCTAACCTTCCCTTTTTAAGCAAATTGATTGAAAAAGCAGTTTTTCAACAGTTGAGTAATTTCATGTTTTTAACTGACGGTTTTGATGTGTTCCAGTCGGGCTTTAGACCTAACCACAGCACTGAGACTTCACTTGTTAAGGTCTTAAATGACATCCATTTAAACACAGACAGTGGCAGAATATCAGTGTTAGTATTATTAGATCTCAGCGCTGCCTTTGATACTGTTGACCACAACATATTGCTAGACCGTCTTGAAAACTGGGTGGGAGTTTCAGCAACAGCTCTAAACTGGTTTAGTTCCTACTTAAAGGACAGAACAAACTTTGTCTCAACAGGCAATTACAAATCAACACTGATAAATATGTCATGCAGGGTTCCTCAAGGCTCCATCTTAGGACCTTTGCTTTTTAATATTTATATGCTACCTCTGGCTGAAATTATTAAAAAGAGCCATCTAAGCTATCACATCTATGCAGACGACACCCAGATTTATTTTAAAATTACACCGGGAGACTATTCTCCAATTAGACCACTGAGCAAGTGCATTGAGCACATCACTGACTGGATGACTCAGAACTTTCTCCAATTGAACAAACAAAAAACTGAGATCATTGTTTTCGGAGCAAAGAAGGACCGATTAAAAGTAATCGCAGAGCTTCAGTCGGCAGACTACAAAGTAACTCACAAAGCAAGACATCTGGGTGTAGTGATGGACTCAGACCTGACTTTTAACAGTCACATTACAACAGTTATTAGGTCTGCATACTACCACCTGAAGAATATATCACGGATTAAAAAACTAATGTCGCAACAGGATTTAGAAAAACTTGTCCATGCTTTTATTTTCAGTAGACTCGACTACTGCAATAGTGTCTTCACAGGGCTCACTAAAGAATCCATCAGAAAGCTGCAGCTGATTCAGAACGCTGCTGCTAGAGTCCTCACTGACATTAGAAAAGTGGATCACATCACTCCGGTTCTGAGATCATAACACTGGCTTCCAGTCTGCCAAATAATTGATTTAAAAATATTACTGCTAGTCTTTAAATCACTAAATGGCTTAGGACCGAGGTATATCGACGACCTCCTCCATCACTATGAAGCATCTAGGAGTCTCAGGTCCTCTGGGTCGGGTCTGCTCTCTGTTCCGAGAACAACAGCTAAACGTGGAAAAGCAGCTTTTAGTTATTATGCCCCAACCATCTGGAACAAACTGCCCACATCGTGCACGTCCGCCGAAACACTTCCTATTTTTAAATCCAGATTAAAAACGCACCTATTTGCCGCTGCTTTCAATTGAGCACTTTTAGTCATGTATTCTGTACCTGCTGTGTTTATTTATTTATTTTATTTCATTACCTTAGCTTATTATGCCTGTTTTTAAATGCCATTTAATAATGTATTTACCTGTCTGTGCTCCACCTGTCTGTGCTCCACCTGTCTGTGCTCCACCTGTCTGTCTTCACCTGTCTGTCTTCACCTGTCTGTGCTCCATCAGGTCTTCACGGTGATCTTTATCGTTGAGATGCTCCTGAAACTCGTGGCCTTCGATCCGTACGGATATTTCCAGGTGAGACTTCCTGTTTGTGAGCGGCTCAGGTGAGACTTCCTGTTTGTGAGCGGCTCAGGTGAGACTTCCTTTTTGTCAGCGGCTCAGTGATGACAGCTGTTGCTATGGTAACATGTGTTTCTGTTGCCTTGGTTACAGGTATCCTGGAACGTCTATGACAGCATCATCGTCTTCGTCAGTCTGCTGCTCCTCGCCGACATCATCAACCTGCCCTTCCTCCTATTGGTCAGTTGGTTACATTGGTTGGTGATTGGCTAATTGTTACACAACGCTGTGACATCACAAAGTGACCAACATCTGATCAGCTCATTTTCAGACAGGTTTTTATGGAGATGGCTCAGGACAAAAAGAGAGGGGTCTTTGTTCCTGTTTCAGAGCCGATGATGATGATGATACGTGAAGAAGAGGGTTCTGCAGAATAGATTACCTTTAAACGTGCAGAGCAATAATTACTGAATCTCACAAACCTGAGTAAAGTGAAGAAGATGCTGATGATGATGATGATGATGGTGGTGATGGTGATTACATTACATTGCATTTAGCTGAGGCTTTTATCCAAAGCGACTTACAATAAGTGCATTCGACCAGGAAGACACAACCTTGAAGAAAACAGAATCATAAAGTACATCAGGCTTCATAGAGCAAAAACATTTCAAGTGCTACTCAACTGGCTTTAGATAAGCCAGTCCTTTATTAGTATATAAGTGCTTTGTTAATAGTTCTATCGCTGGAAGTGGAGTCAAAAGAGATGAGTTTTCAGTCTGGAAGGTGTGTAAGCTTTCTGCTGTCCTGATGTCAATGGGGAGCTCATTCCACCATCTTGGAGCCAGGATAGCAAACCCACGTGTTTCTGCTGATGGGAACTTGGGTCCCCTTCGCAGCGAGGGTGCAGCGAGTCGTTTGGCTGATGCAGAGCGTAGTGCACGCGCTGGGGTGTACGGTTTAACCATGTCCTGGATGTAGGAAGGGCCAGATCCATTCACAGCATGGTAAGCAAGTACCAGTGTCTTGAAGTGGATTCTAGCAGTTACCGGAAGCCAGTGAAGGGAGCGGAGGAGCGACGTGGTGTGGGAACATTTAGGAAGGTTGAAGACCAGACGAGCCGCTGCATTCTGGATGAGCTGCAGAGGTCGGATGGCACATGCAGGTAGACCAGCCAGGAGGGAGTTGCAGTAGTCTAGGCGTGAGATGACGAGAGCCTGGACCAGAAGCTGAGTCGCTTTCTGGGTCAGCTGGGGACGTATCTTCCTGATGTTGTAAAGCGTGTATCTGCAGCAACGGGTTGTAGCAGCGATGTTTGCAGTGAAGGACAGGTTGTTATCTAGGGTCACACCCAGATTCCTTGCAGTCTGAGTCGGGGAAACAACTGAGGTGCCGATGTTGATTGTTAGGTCAAGAGTGGGACAAACTTTTCCCGGAAGGAAAAGCAGTTCAGTCTTGTCAAGGTTGAGCTTGAGGTGGTGAGCAGACATCCACTGAGAGATGTCAGCTAGACAAGCAGAGATGCGTGCGACGACCTGGGTCCCTGAGCGGGGAAAGGACAGAATTAATTGGGTGTTTGTGTACAAGGCGAAGAGGAGGGGACCAATAACAGAGCCCTGAGGGACCCCTGTAGTTAATTGACAAGGGTCGGACTCGGACCCTCTCCAAGTTACCCTGTAGGTGCGGTCTTTGAGGTATGAGGTGAGGAGGGAAAGTGCAGAGCCTGAAACTCCAACTTCTTGGAGAGTGTGAAGGAGGATCTGATGATTCACCGTGTCGAATGCAGCAGACGGGGAAGGGGCTTTGGGGGGGTCCAGGAGGGAGGAGAAGATGGAAAATAGTTTTTTGGGATTGGAATAGGAAGATTGGATCTTATCTTGAAAGAAAGTGCTTTTTGCCTGAGAGATGGAAGCAGAGAAAGAGGAGAGGAGAGCCTGATAGGTTAGGAGGTCGTCATGGTGTTTGGATTTCCACCATTTCCGCTCTGCTGCCCTAAGGATGGTTCTATTAGCACGCAGTGCATCATTTAGCCAGGGAGCAGGAGGGGACTGACGAGCCTAACGAGATGTGAGAGGACAGAGAGTCCAGAGAGGATGAGAGAGTAGAGAGGAGAGTTTCTGCAGCAGAGTTTGGAGGCAGGAGTTGGAACGAGTCCGAGGAAGGGAGGGCTGAGAGCACCGATGAGGCAAAGGTAGAGGGGGAGAGGGAGCGAAGGTTACGGCGGACAGGTGCAGGATGAGAAGAGATTAGTTTGTTATGTTTGGAAAGGGGTAGAGAGAATGAAATGAAGAAGTGATCAGATGTGTGGAGCGGGTTTACAGAGAGGTTAGAAGTAGCGCAGTTCCTTGAGAATATGAGATCAAGGACATTGCCAGCTTTATGAGTTGGTGGGGACGGAGACAGTGAGAAAGCAAAGGCGGTTAACAGAGATGTTAGTTAGTCTATCTTCCCCGTCTGGAGGTTGAAGTCTCCGAGAAGTACAGTCGGGAGGGCCAGTTTCAGGGATGTGTGAGAGGAGATTATCTAATTCCTCCAAGAAGTCCCCCAAGGCGCCTGGTGGACGGTAGAGAACAACAATGGTTAACTGTATAGGATGGGTTACTGTGACGGCATGGAATTCAAAGGTGGAAGGAGTGAAGTTAGGTAGCTTGAAGAGAGAAAAGCTCCATTTGGGAGAGAGCAGGAGACCAGTGCCACCTCCTCTGCCAGTGGGTCTGGGTGTATGGGAGAAGGAATATGCTGTGGAGAGAGCTGCTGGGGTGGATGTGTTGAATGGAGTAATCCACGTCTCAGTGAGAGCAAGGAAATCCAGAGACTGCAGGGAGGCGTAGCCAGAGATGAAATCAGCCTTACGAACAGCTGACTGGCAATTCCACAGGCCGCCTGAAACTAGATGTTGGATCTCAGTGGAGCATGTGGGATAGACGAGAGCAGGCCGGTTATATCGATTACGAGATACACGGGGCCAGTGATAATTGAGAGAAGACACATAAACAGGAATGGAGAAAATACACATGATTATAGCATGAGGGGCTAAACAACCAAAGAAAATAAAACACCAGCGATACTTTGCTCAATCAAAGTAGGATTTGCCTCCTCTTTGCCTCCCTCGTGACTCCAGCAGGACTCCAATGTATTTGTCAGTCTTTGACTCCCAGGATCATTTTGTCAGTCTTGACTCCCGCAGGACTCCAATGTCTTTGTCAGTCTTAGCCTGTCTGACGCTGACGCTCCAGGAAAGTGCTACCTAAAATGGACACCTGATTGCTGAGTTCTCACAGCTGTGGGGCCACGTCCCTTTAATTAGTTAACTCTGCAGCTGGTGGCCCTCAAAAGGAAATCTAGACTGGCTCCCTCCTGACTTGTTATTGTAATTTCAGTGGCCCAATGGTTTTACAATTACATTAAACCCTAAGTTATAAAGTTATGAGTTTAACCCTTAATACAGTTACACCTACTCAATAAAGCTCTTAGTATTCTACAAATGTTTAAATCAAAGTTAACCCTAGCAGTCAGTTAGTTCACTTTTAAGGTTTCAGTCAAATGACTTGTCCCAAGTTTCTGCCTGACAGATACTGTAGCGGTTTTGAGATTTAAAATCACAATTCCAGTCAGATCAACTACAGAGCATTGATACAGAGTACACACACTGAAACAGAGAAGTCTAAGGACAGAATGTTACTCACACAATTCTAGAAGTCTCCAGTTGCTTTCCTGTCAAAATCGAGTTGCACACTGGTGATGATGATGGTGGTGATGATGATGATGATGGTGGTGGTGGTGGTGGTGATGATGATGATGATGATGGTGGTGATGATGATGATGGTGATGATGATGGTGGTGGTGATGATGATGATGATCATGGAAATGGAAGATTTAATAATAACAGAACTTTTCTCCAGATGATGATGATGATGATGACGATGATGATGGTGATGACGATGACAATGACGATGACGATGATGATGATAATAATAAAATGAGGAATAATAACAGAAGTTGTCTCTAGATGCGGTTCCTCCGGCTGGCCAGGTGGTGGCCGATGCTCCACATGTTGATGAAGATCATCTGGACGGCTCTGAGTTCTCTGAGGAACCTGACGCTCCTCCTCTTCATCACGCTCTTCATCTTCTCCATTGCTGGCATGCAGCTTTTTGGAAAGGACTACAAAGACCAAGTCTGTCGCATCGCAGAGGACTGCAAGCTTCCTCGTTTCCACATGACAGACTTCTTCCACTCCCTCCTGGTGGTCCTCAGGGTTCTGTTCGGGGACTGGGTCGAGGCGCTGTGGGACTGCATGGAGGTCTCCAGAAAGACATCCTGTCTCCTCTTCTTCATGATGCTCCTCGTCTCAGGAAACCTGCTGGTGAGTTCCTGCAGCTCACACGGGATCACATGAGAACACACAAGATCACATGAGAGCACACAAGATCACATGAGAACACATGAGAACACATGAGATCACCCAAGACTTCTTTAAGACTTTTTTAAAACCTCTGGTGGATATTCAAAGTTAGATTCCTTATGTCACCGGTTACCCCTTCAACTGCCCTCTTCAGCTGAAACACAGGGCTCAACTGTCAACAGGAGGGCTGACGACCGGCCGATCTGTGATTCTCTAGAACACACAGATGGCCAGTCCGCCCCTTTTTAGCATTTATTTTCAGATGAGCAGATCGTCACTGGGCTTTCAACTAAAGACACCGCAAAAACTGCGGCATGTTCTGCTTCTTATGGGTACTGCAATTTATGAAGTGCCGGCGCGGCGGTCTGGTACGCTCCGGCAGCACTACACCTCTGATCGTTTCACCACGTAGGAAAGCAGCAAGTCGACTGGAGTCAACCTGTTTTGTTTTTTTTCACGAAACTGTGTCTCAAGGCTTCTTAACATTTAACAACCAATTAATCTGTCATACCCACTTAACGGGAAGACACTCAGCAGCTGACGATATGTACCATTTTGACACGAAGCGTCTAAATGAGCCCTGAGCGAAAACATGCTAACAGACTTAGCAAGGCAAGGCAAGTTTATTTATATAGCACATTTCAACAAAAAGCAATTCAAAGTGCTTTACAAAAATGAAAGACATTAAGAAAATGGCATTTAAAAGCAGCATTAAAATAAAAAATACATGGATAAAAGTTACAGTGCAGTTTAAGATGTGAATAGTTCAATTAAAAGCAGCGACAAAAAGAAAAGTCTTCTTGCTGGATTTGAAAGTAGTCAGAGTTGCAGCGGACCTGCAGGTTTCTGGGAGTTTGTTCCAGATATTTGGAGCATAATAACTGAACGCTGCTTCTCCATGTTTAGTTCTGACTCTGGGGACAGAAAGCTGACCAGTCCCTGAAGACCTGAGAGATCTGGATGGTTCATAATTTAGCAGAAGATCAGAAATGTATTTTGGGCCTAAACCATTCAGTGCTTTATAAACCAGCAGCAGTATTTTGAAATCTATTCTTTGACACACAGGAAGCCAGTGTAAAGACTTCAGAACTGGAGTGATCCACTTTCTTAGTGTTAGTGAGGACTCGAGCAGCGGCGTTCTGAATCAGCTGCAGCTTCCTAATAGATGTTTTAGTGAGACCTGTGAAGACACCATTGCAGTAGTCCAGTCTACTGAAGATAAAAGCATGGACAAGTTTTTCCAAATCCTGCTGTGACATTAGTCTTTTAATCCTAGATATATTCTTTAGGTGATAGTAGGCTGATTTAGTAACTGTTTTAATGTGACTGTTGAAACTCAGGTCCATGACTACACCTAGATTTCTGGCTCTATCTGTTGTTTTGAACATTGCAGACTGAAGCTCAGCGCTAACTTTTATACGTTCTGACTTGGCTCCAAAAACCATTACCTCAGTTTTATCTTTGTTTAATTGGAGAAAGTTCTGACACATCCAGTCATTGATTTGTTCAATGCACTTACTCAGTGTTTGAATTGGAGCATAGTCTCCTGGTGAAATTGTTACGTAAATGTGTGTGTCATCCGCATAGCTATGGTAACTTATTTTGTTGTTTTTCATTATCTGAGCCAGTGGTAGAATGTAGATGTTAAAGAGAAGAGGCCCCAAGATGGAGCCTTGAGGAACCCCACATGTCATATTTGTCAACTCAGATGTGTATTTACCTATAGAAACAAAGTTGTTTCTGTCCTTTAAGACCAAAAAACCAATTTAGAACTGTTTCCGAAAGTCCCACCCAGTTTTCCAGTCGGTCTAGTAATATGCTGTGGTCAATTACATTACATTGCATTTAGCTGACGCTTTTATCCAAAGCGACTTACAATAAGTGCGTTGGATCAACAAGATACAACCTTGAAGAAAACAGAATCATATAAGTACATCAGGTTTCATAGAGCCAAACATTTCAAGTGCTGCTCAACTGGCTTTAGATAAGCCAGTCCTTTATACGTAAGTGCTTTGTTAGTAATTGTATCGCTCGAAGTGGAGTCGAAAGAGATGAGTTTTCAGTCTGGAAGGTGTGTAAGCTTTCTGCTGTCCTGATTTCAATGGGGAGCTCATTCCACCATTTTGGAGCCAGGATAGCAAACCCACGTGTTTCTGCTGATGGGAACTTGGGTCCCCCTCGCAGCGAGGGCGCAGCGAGCTGTTTGGCTGATGCAGAGCGGAGTGCACGTGGAAGGGCCAGATCCATTCACAGCATGGTACGCTAGTACTAGGGTCTTGAAGTGGATTCTAGCAGTTACTGGAAGCCAGTGAAGGGAGCGGAGGAGCGGCGTGGTGTGGGAACATTTTGGAAGACAGTATCTACGTCCGACTTAGTGATTCGAATTTACAACAGTGTCAAACGCAGCACTGAGATCTAATAATACTAACACTGAAGTTCTGCCACTGTCTGTGTTCAAGTGGATGTCATTGAAGACCTTTACAAGAGCAGTCTCAGTACTGTGGTTTGGACGAAAGCCTGACTGGAACACATCAAAACAGTTGTTTAAATGCGAGAAATTACTTTTTCAATGATTTTACCTAGAAATGGGAGGTTTGATATGGGCCTGTAATTGTTCATTACTGAAGCGTCTAGATTATGCTTTTTTAAGAGCGGTTTAATGACTGCAGTTTTCAGGGCCTGTAGAAAAATACCTGAGTGAAGAGATTTGTTTACTCTATGAAGTAGATCTGAGGCCATGCAACAAAAAACATCTTTGAAAAATCCTATTGGAATAATATCAAGGCAGCAGGAGGAGGATTTCAGAAGTTGAATAATGTCCTCTAGGTTTTTATCATTAATCTGATGGAACTGTGTCATGGTGTTTGAATTTATATTAGGTGGACATAGGGACAACACATTTGCTGTACCTGATGCAGAGGCACTGACTGCTTGTCTGAATGTTGTCAGTGAAGAAGGCAAATTCATTGCATGCCCTGGTGGATAGAAGTTCAGAGGCTACTGACACTGTGGGGTGATGTTACGCTAACGGGCTGCTTTGAATGGAGAGGTTTTGAGTGTTGAATTATGTAGACGTGTGTTGCTTAGCAACAATTACCGTTTGGCATGTATTGACGTGGACGCGCATCTTAAGACGAGGCGCAGCTACGACCTTGACTAGTCAGGCTTGGTGCACTCGGTGTAAATTCGAATCACTAAGTCGGACGTAGATAAGCCCGATGTTAGAGTTAAGAACTACTTTTTTACGCCCAGCTGGTGCACTCCACCTCTGGTCTAGTTTAAAGTTGGTAATTGTAACCTGGTCTTGTTGCTGGTCTGGAGTCTGTTCTTGTGTCTAGTCATTACTTTCTTTATGGTTCCAGGTCCTGAACCTGTTCCTGGTCTTGTTGCTGAGTCCGCTCCGTGGTCTCAGTCCGGCAGGTCCAGAAGAGAAGGTCAATAACAACGTCCAGATGGCTTTGAGGCGGATCTACAGAGCTACTGGGAGTCTGCTGGGGAGGAAGACCGGCGCTAAACCAGAACTCACAGGTGAGACCAGGATCTAGAGCTTTATCTAAATCCCTCTCCATTGTGACTCCTGGTGTCAGAGAGGGTTCAGGGTGAGTCTCTATCTGATGACTGTTTCCTGTGTCTGACGACAGAGAGTGACGGACAGGAAGTGGACAGGAAGGAACACCTGGCTCTAGACATCAGGACCAACGGAGATCACGAGGTGCACGAGGAGACGCCTGAACAGAAAGCAGTAAACGCTCTTATTATACTGCAGTATTTCTGAGTATGTGTAGTACTCTGAGTATGTGTAGTACTCTGAGTATGTGTAGTAAACTGGGAATGCTTCTGTGCAGAAAACTCCTGAAGGCCATCAGCACGGAGACCCTGAGGACTGCTGCAGCCAGAGTAAGAGCCAATCAGAGAGCAGCAACATAGCCAATCATAGATCATTAACACAGCCAATCAGAGAGCAGCAACACAGCCAATCATAGATCATTAACGCAGCAAATCAGAGACCAGCAACACAGCCAATCAAATACCAGCAATACAGCCAATCAGAGACCAGTAACACAGCCAATCAGAGACCAGTAACACAGCCAATCAGAGACCAGTAACACAGCCAATCAGAGACCAGCATCGCAACACAGCCAATCAGAGACCAGTATCGGAGAGCAGCATCAGTGTCTTTGTTTGTGTTTCAGAGTGCTGTCCCCTCCAGGTCGTAGACTCGTCCCGTGGAGCAGGGCAGGTCTGGACTAACTTCAGGAGGTTCTGCCTCTGCATCGTCCAACACAAGCTCTTTGAGATCTTCATCATCTTATTCATCGTGCTGAGCAGCGTGGCTCTGGTAGGCATTCTGATGTTTATATACAGTATTGTGTCTTTGTGGTGGTTCTGTGTGCATTGTGTCCCTGGTCATGTGATGCATCGTGTCCCTGGTCATGTGATGCATTGTGTCCCTGGTCATGTGATGCATTGTGTCCCTGGTCATGTGACGTGTCCCTGGTCAAGTGATGCATCGTGTCCCTGGTCATGTGATGCATCGTGTCCCTGGTCATGTGATGCATCGTGTCCCTGGTCATGTGATGCATTGTGTCCCTGGTCATGTGACGTGTCCCTGGTCAAGTGATGCATCGTGTCCCCGGTCATTTGTGATATTGGGCTATATAAATAAACATTGATTGATTGATTGATTGATTGATCATGTGATGCATCGTGTCCCTGGTCATGTGATGTGTCCCTGGTCATGTGATGCATCGTGTCCCTGATCATGTGACGTGTCCCTGGTCATGTGATGCATCATGTCCCTGGTCAAGTGATGCATCGTGTCCCTGGTCATGTGACGTGTCCCTGGTCATGTGATGCATCGTGTCCCTGGTCATGTGACGTGTCCCTGGTCATGTGATGCAGCGTGTCCCTGGTCATGTGATGCAGCGTGTCCCTGGTCATGTGATGCATTGTGTCCCTGGTCATGTGATGCATTGTGTCCCTGGTCATGTGACGTGTCCCTGGTCAAGTGATGCATCGTGTCCCTGGTCATGTGATGCATCGTGTCCCTGGTCATGTGATGCATCGTGTCCCTGGTCATGTGATGCATTGTGTCCCTGGTCATGTGACGTGTCCCTGGTCAAGTGATGCATCGTGTCCCTGGTCATTTGTGATATTGGGCTATATAAATAAACATTGATTGATTGATTGATTGATCATGTGATGCATCGTGTCCCTGGTCATGTGATGTGTCCCTGGTGATGTGATGCATCGTGTCCCTGGTCATGTGACGTGTCCCTGGTCATGTGATGCATCATGTCCCTGGTCAAGTGATGCATCGTGTCCCTGGTCATGTGACGTGTCCCTGGTCATGTGATGCATCGTGTCCCTGGTCATGTGACGTGTCCCTGGTCATGTGATGCAGCGTGTCCCTGGTCATGTGATGCAGTGTTGTCCCTGGTCATGTGATGCATCGTGTCCCTGGTCATGTGATGCATCGTGTCCCTGGTCATGTGATGCATGTGTCCCTGGTCAAGTGATGCATCGTGTCCCTGGTCAAGTGATGCATCGTGTCCCTGGTCATGTGATGCATCGTGTCCCTGGTCATGTGATGCATCGTGTCCCTGG